AGCTATTTTTCCCCTCAATCTAGCCTTACACTAGGACAGCTCACCAGATGGCTGGCAGCCCCGATATTCCTACAACTTTAGGTGTCACATATTAAGGTTATGTCTACCCCATGTTTGAATAGAAGGTGCAGATTCACAAGCAATGGCTCTCTGCAATGTCATCTCCTTGCGAACCATCTCCTTTCTACTCTCTCTAGACTTTTATGTTCTTAAAGCATTTGAGAGGATTAAAAGCTGTAGAACTAGTTCTTGATAGTTTCCTTTGACAATTTGTGCATGGGCTGTCTCTCACTTTAGTAGCTGATATCTACCGTGTCTTGACTTCTCTGTCAAAATTTCCAAATCAACAGCCTACCTCACTCCTTTTTCCTTATTGTAGAGGCTGTATGGCTCAAAACTATTGTTGGTAGTCACACCTGAACTATAATATCCCATCACTCTGTATCTGGTAGAATTCCTATGGCACCCATCCAGCCACTAGTGTGGGTATTTGTCTAGATGGGGTCAATCGTAGATCTGACTCCTCTGGTCTCACTAAGTTCTTAAGGGATAAGCATGTGAACTGACCTGTACTAACCAGGGCTCTTCACTGTTGAAGGGAAAAAATAAATGTTTCTCCCCCTCCTCATATTTCTAAAGGAGAAGGAACACCTACTCCCCCAGGAGAAGGCAATGGTGGTAGGAACACAGTTGCCATATCTCCGTACCATAGGAGGAACGGCTATTCTAACTGGTCAGACCTTGACATTCACTGGGCCATATGGTAGGATTACTCTTAGTAGACTCCTCCACCTGGTCATGTTTCCCATCATGGATAGCTAAGAAACACAATGATCTTTTATTTCTCTTTCTCACTGCCTTGCGAAGTTAAGGTCCATAAAATCTAATTTCTAAAGACAAGCCTGACCAAAGATTCTCCCCCTTTTCTCTAATTTCTGCCAGCCAGGAAGTGCATGAGGCAGGCCTCCAATCCTTTGTGAAAGCAGGTCCATAGGTAGACTGAGTCTATTCTGTAGAAGCATAGGTGATTATAAGACTTAAATTTTAGTAAGGAGTAAACCTATTCTAAAATCAGTCCATTGCTTCGCAGGTTGACTTTATGCATTGATCCCAGTTTTCCTAACATTTGTTACTATTGATACTCCATCAGCCATAACCCAGGAAGTTAGGAGGTGTGAGTAATTGGCTCAGGAAATTTAAAGCACCAGGGAATTTGCTAACTAGAACTAGGAGAAAAGGAACTTTCTTCTCAAATTATGAAGTTGGATGAATATGACTCTGGAGTTCCCACCACACAGAAAGAAAACCCATCTTCATCAGTAAGAAATAAATCCAACCCACTCACAAAGGCAGAAAGTCTTGAAGTCAATGGCCTCCAACATCTCCACCAACCCTAAGGCTGGCTCCATTTCTGTACCACCTGCATTTGAGTTACAAGCACCAGTAACCCACCCTTATTTGCTAATGCTAATTTCAGTTGGGCATTGACAGCAGAAACTAAAAAAAAAAAAAAAATCCTGATTGATACATTTCTTAACTTTCTTTTTTTAAAAAACAGTATTTTGAGTTGCTGTTTTATTGACTGCCTTTTAAGACTAGTGACTATTTCCTCTGTATCTTTCAGCAGCCTACACCATGGCCTAGTGCACTGGAGAGCTAATAAGAGTATCGTTTGTAGCCAAACTCACTGGGAAGGACATGCACTCACCTCTGCCAAACACATGCTTACTGACATTTCCTAACTAGTAATAAAATAGAATAAGTAGATGTACATACTTTGAAAAAGAAAATGGAAATGCATTGGGAAATCTACCCATCCAGCTCACAGCTGTGGCTCATATCCCCAGCACTCAACAGTATTTGGCTCCGTTATTCCTTTTATCACATTTGCTTCTTAAGAAAAATCTTTATGGCTTATCTCAGCTCTTAGAAGCAAAGCCAAAGACCATATTTATACTAAAGCATCTTTTTCTAAGTACTCAAGGACAGGGGGAGAAATCTTAGCATATGGAAGGAAAGAAGCATATGTATCTTTATTTACCATAAAGAATTATATTATAATACATTCAGAATGTTCTTACCTTCTTTATGCTACAGACCCCTGGGTAAAATCACAAAAGCATTATATTTGGTGAGGGAAATGAGAAATTTTAAGGGTTGTTAGCACATTGGATTTTTATCACAAGGAAAACCTGCATAAAGTTATGTATCATCGGTCTTTCTGTAATTATGATGCATTGAGAAAACATGTAATAAGTGACAATTCAACCTGCTACTGGTGAAACATAAAGTATTAAGGTTGGGTGAGGGAGGGGTGGCATACTTCAGGACAGTGATTTTATTTTATTTTATTTTATTTTATTTTATTTTATTTATTTTTGAGACAGAGTCTCACTTTGTTGCCCAGGCTAGAGTTAGTGCCGTGGCATCAGCCTAGCTCACAGCAACCTCAAACTCCAGGGCTCAAGCAATCCTGCTGCCTCAGCTTCCTAAGTAGCTGGGACTACAGGCATGCGCCACCATGCCCGGCTAATTTTTTTCTATGTATATTAGTTGGCCAATTAGTTTCTTTCTATTTATAGTAGAGACGGAGTCTCGCTCTTGCTCAGGCTGGTTTTGAACTCCTGACCTCAAGCAATCTGCCTGCCTCGGCCTCCTAGAGTGCTAGGATTACAGGTGTGAGCCACGGATGCCCAGCCTCAAATGGATATTTAGATGTGGGAGAGACAATGAAGAAAGTGGGTTTCTATAGCTCTATTTCTTTATTTTTATATTAGCTAAAGAGTGTGTTATATATAAAGTATATAAAGGAGGTAACAGCCACCATGCTTAGATGCTTTGGCAAAAATTACAGAGAATGTAGAAGCACCCCGTAAAAAGCATTACCTGTGGGTTGCAGGTGTTTATTCTACCTCAGGACCAGGATGAAAAAATAAATAAATAATGTGTATAGAACATATATGACATTCTGATGAATGTGCCTCCCCCAGGGCTCCCTAAAGCACCTGTTGCCCCGCAGTATATGTTTCTTTGTTCTGGGTGCATTAAGCAAGTGAATCATTTACGGGAATTGAACCGGAAATTTGCAATAGTTTATAACAGTGTATGCTGTATAAATGCTAAGTCATGTTATTGAGGAAACAAAGACATATATTTTATAAAAAAGAAACCGCATCTAGGCTATTGGAGATCACATTAATCCCACAAATAATGAGTATCCTCTTAACCCTGCTCTCTGGTGCACCCCCTCTGTGATTATATTGGCACATGTGTTTGCAGAGGCAGCAGAAGGCAGGAATGAACCTGTTGGAATTTCAGTTCCACCATGTATAAAATGGGTCCTTGTCAATGTTACAGCACAGAAATTCTGAAAAAAAAGTATGCCTATTTTTTAATCACTTGATTTTAAAAACAACAAAGATAAAACTCTCTGATTTTTTTTCATATTCTTAGTAATTTCTACTTTTTATGAAACATGTTCTTAGTAATATAAAAAAGAGATTGAAGTAAAGGATCACTTAAGGTCATTTAAAAGATGTAGTGCTCAGAAATATTCCAAGACCAATAGGGCTCGCTTAAGTAAAAAAAAAAAAATTCTAAAAATATTAACAGATTCTAACTTGGGTTCTAAATGAAAACTATAGAATATTAAAATCTCATAAGATATACCAGATTTTTATTAGAATTAGGACCTCAAAGAGAAAATGTATATAATATGTAAGCAGGTGTGTGTATGCTGGACTCCACAGTTTAAACATGTTTGTTTCTTCTTTTCTTTCTCACCACCAGCAGAAGAGAGAAAATTGCACTGAATTTGTATCCTAATCCAATCTAATTCCTTTCTTTACCAGTAAACTACATTAATTAGTTCTCTGAACCCTAAATATTAGGACTACTAAGTGGGAAATAATTTGTTGTAAGCCTTCTAAACACTGTAGTTGTCTCTAGTGCTTCTTCTTACAGGAGAAAGAGTACCTATGAGACTGCCGCACCCAAACACAGCCTGTAAAATTCTTGCCGTCCTGGCCAAGATGGGAGACACCATCAGCCAGGGCTGGTGATTGTCAACAAGAAGTTAAAAATTAATAGATTAGAAACTACAGTGTTAGTTGGTCTTACTGCAAATGCATTGCACTTTGCTGCTTCTCAGACAACTATAGCAAGCTCTCCATGCGGAGGAACTCACATCTGCTGCTTTATAGAAGGAAGGGTGGGGAGTGGCCCGGCAGCCACTGGGGTCTCTCCTCGTTGGAAATGCTTTCCATAGACTCATATCTTGGGCATTTAGAAGAGGAAAAGAAGGATGAACTAGTGACAGGTTGGGAACAACTCTAGTAGAGATTGTCCTGTGGCCCCTCAAATTTTGTAAATGTAACAAAATTGTCTGAAAGTGGTAGCAGCAGTCGCCAGCACCAACCAAAATCATTCCAGGCAGAGAATCATTTCAAAATATACCTGTTATTGATGGACAGTGCTCATTTTTTAAAATTTTCATTTGTAATTATTTAATTAAAGTAATATATATTATACATATATATAAATTTCTTTGCAATAGGGTAAAGAATAGTATGATGCATTTTGATTAGTGCCTATTATACATTGGGCACAGATCTAGTCACTTCATAGAAGCTATCATATTAATGCTTATGAGAATTGTATGATCAACTGCCCATTTTATAAATGATAAAACTGAGACTCCCCCTCTAGATATTAAATAGCTCCCCAAAATCAAGCATCCAGTGAGTTGTGGAACACATTCAAACTCAGGATGCTTGGATTTGAAAATCTGTGATCTTAAAGTCCAATATTATTTACATCTCAGAGATTAAGAAAATAAGATACATTTGCATATCAAACATTTTTAAAATAACTATTGAAGGTACTGACGATTTTGCCTATGAATGTGAAGACAGGCTCCCTTCTTCTCCATCGTGGGATTCCAATGCCTGTGCCCACACTCACCTACCTAATGCTCAAGAGCTGTAAGTCAAACTAGTTACCTTCACCCGTGTGTCAGACAGATGTCTTCAAAGAGTATTCCCTCATCCACCTCCAACTGGAAAAAAGGAAGTTAAAACATAGGCTAAATATTACAAGACAAGTTCATAAAATTTTATATGGCACAAGGTTTTTCAAACATTTATGAGTATATTTTATTTTTCTCATTATTTTTCCTTGTAAACATTGTAGTCTAAGGGTAGCTTAAAGAAACTTTTGAGAACCACAGCCACCTACTTATTTATTTATTTATTTTGACAATACAGTGATAATACAGCGACAATTGTTGATCAACTTGACTAGCATCAGAAGTAGAGTCCATAATGGTCTGGATCTCTAGATTATACCATTTTAGTCAGTTTGGAAATAAGTGGTTTGTTTGTTTGTTTGTTTGTTTGTTTCCTAATTCACAAGCCTGGCCTGATTTCCATCATCTTCTTATTTTTTTTTCCATTTTTTTTTTTATTTCAGCATATTATAGGGGTCCAAATGTTAAGGTTACATATATTGCCCATGCCTTTCCTTCCTCCTCAAGTCAGAGCTTCAAGCGTGACCATCCCCCAGACGTTGCATATCTCACTTATTATGTTTGTATATGCCCATCCCCTTCTCCCTCCTCCCACCCTGGAAATAAGTGTTTGAATGTTCATTTGCAGTGTAGATCCAGAACTTGACATTCAGCTCCTGGATTATATGCATGGTAATGATATTCTGTTCCTGGATTACATAGTAGTAAGCAATTTCAATTCAGCTGGGTCACTTCCCATAGTGTTAGAACAGATTACACTTTGGTTAGGCACAGATGTATTAATTTGTTTGTATTTAGGAAGCATGTTTTACTAATTATATAGATGATTGATTGATAAATAGAGGCATGAGGAAACTGTGAGGAATGAGGAAACTAGACTGATAAAGGACCACAGACTCATATTATAAATCTGAAGTTCATTCTGAATAGGATACATGCTTATTGAATGATAAACAAATTATTTACTAACATCATTGTGATTTTCATTTTTCTCTTAATTTTTCTTTTTTGAAAAGTTGAATTTGGTTAAATCAAATGAACATATAGTGGGATTCCATCATACTGATATAACAATTATTACAGTACCTGGAGACAAAAACACTGTTTTGGATTATTTTTACTGATTACTAAAAGACAAGAGTCAATGTCAGGGGACAGACATTGTGACCAGTAGGTATTAGTTTCTTAAGGATGTCATAACATAGTACCACAGAGAGCTGCCTTGGAACAAAAGAAATTTATTCTCTCACGGTTTGGGAGGCTAGAAGGCTGAAATCAAAGTGTCAGTGGGGCCATGCTTCACTCCGAAGGCTTTAGGGGAGAAGCTTCCATGCCTCTTCCAGCTTCTAGCGGGCCCAGCACTCCTCAGCTTTTGGCAGCATAACTCCAATCTCTGCCTGCTTCCCTGTGACGTGGCCTTCTTCCCTGTGACGTGTGAATGTGTCCTCTCCTCTAAGGATACGAGTCACTGGATTTAAGCCCTACCCTACATCCAGGATGGTTTCATCTGAAAATCCTTAACGAATCACATCTGCAAATACTTTACTTCCAAATAAAGTCACATTCTGAGGTTCTGGGTGAACGTGAATTTTGGGGATACACTACTCAACCCTCAGAGACAGGCAGGAAGGCAGGCCCTTGTCTTGTTCCCCACCCTTCAGAGAGCCCCACAGACAAGAAACACAAAAATATGGCCACAAATACACAGGCACAAACAAAAATATTTATTAAAGAATGCTTGTGCGCCGTTGTGTCTCAGGGTCTGGCGTTCAGCGCCATCATAGCACAACCTGGGAGCCTAAACGTCTACTCTGAGACCAACACCAATCAATCTCCAAGGAAACACCTTTTCTAAGTAATTGCTTTCTGCTGTTAGAACAAAATGCACCTGTCTATGAATGTCGTGAATGTGTGGGTTGGTAGGGAATGGTTCTGAGTGCAGAAAGAGCACAAGGGGTGGCACAACAATTAAGAAAAAGAGAAGATTCATTCATTTGTCAAATATTTTCTCTCAAAGAGCATGAATGAAACACATTGCTGCATAACGAAGTACTGTTCCCCTGTACTGCTGAGTGTCCACTCGCTACTCTTCACGTTCTAATTTGTGGGTCCAGTTTGTGATCCAAAATGTGTGTGAATTAGCTCAGTAGTCACACAGCATTGCTTAGCAGCTGAGGAACATTTTGCAAAATTAAGCTATTCATATTATTCCTAAACTTGTTTGTATATTTATATCTACCTATCTTTCTGTGTATGTCTATGTCAAACTTGTAGTAAGTATGATACTCTTTATTTGGGCAAATAGGTAAACACTGAACAAGAAAATTGTGAATAGTTTCATTTTTAAAATAATTAGTAAATTAAATTTTCAAAAATGTTAGTTTTATTTAAATAATTTAGATGTATAGCTTTTATTTTTACTAGTTGTTAAGTTGTAGTCTGCATTTTAATCTTAACAAATGATATTTCATATTTTAGAAAAAACTTTATATAAATTTTAATATTTGCATTCTAGTTAATTTATACTTCTGATGGTAATATATTCAAATTGTATGTACTTTGAAAATAATTACATTTTATTTAATTTATACTGTGATGAAGATATATTCAAATTGTGTTCACTTTAAAATTAATTACAATAGGTCATAAATCAAAAAATCTTGATTATAGTTATTTAATTAGTGGCCGTGCTGCCATGAAGACAAAATAAATTAAATGAATAAATATGTAACAATTTATATATTATGTATATCTTTATTTTACTACCCCAAACTTTGCCAGCGCGTCAGCTAACTATCCATATGTGTGCAATAATAGTTAAACTCATTTGTCTGGTATTTTGCTTATTTACAATCATATTAAAAACATGGCTGAATATATTTTTCAATTATTCTCATAAAACTATGTCAAACAAAAAGATAAAACATTTGTAACAATCTGTTAGCTTGATTTATAATTGTTAAATATTTAAATTACTAGAAATAGTATTTTATTATGCAACAATCCATCTTATTCATGCTACCTGAGAGAATAATTTGGTAAATTAATTAGTATTTTTTTTCTTAAGTGGTATGGTATGTAGGCCTCCATTTGTTCTCTTTCCCCTGGTCCTGCAAACATTAGCAGTGGACAGGGCTTAAACCTGCTCTCAAAAGATAGAGAGTAGGTGATAGACAGCTACATTTTCAGGTATTCCTGTTTAGTTTGCTAGGGCTGCCATAACAAAGTAGCACAGACTGGGTGGCTTAAACAATAGAAATTTATCTTCCTACAGTTCTGGAGGCTGGAAGCCTGAGATCAATATGTCGGCAGGGTTGGTTCCTTCTGAGGGCTATGAGGGAAGGATGTATTCCAGTTCTCTCTTCTTGGCTTGTGGATGGCCATCTTTTCCCTGTCTTCGTATCTTGTTCCCTCAGCATGTGGGAGCATGTATGTATTCAAATTTCCTCTTCTTATTGGATTAGAGCCAGTCACATTGTTTAGGACCCACCCTAATGACCTCATTTTAACTTACCTTTGTTCAGACCCTCCTCCAAATACAGACACACTATGAGGTAATGGGGATTGGGACTTCAACATAAAATTTGGGGGAGACCACAATTCAGCCCACACCTATACACAGACATGAAGACGTTTGCACTTTGGTTTCTTTCTATTGGATTGAGCTTTCTTGTCCATAAATACCTGGGCATTTTTGTGCAAGACAATTAACATATGTCTGCTACATTTTAGACACAAAAGATGAACAGTTCTATAAGCATGATCATTTTTCTGGATTTAATTTTGACTCTCACTTACTTAAAATCATCAACAAAATTGTATATGATAATAGCTCAGCTAATAGATATAATGTGGCCTTCTCCCAAAAATCTATTTTTGCTGTGCTTGACAGATGAAGTAGTTCTCTTCAACTTTATTAAGGTTTTGGCAATGCTTCCTTTTTTTTAGTCTTATGCAATTATTCTTCAAGGTAATAAACATGAGTCATTCTTTTATGATTGTTAATCTATTTTTATGTATCTGCATAATATGTAGTTGATGAACTTTAATAAAATCTGAAGTGAAGTCCCCTTGAGGCCATTTTCAGGCTGGTTTTGCTGCAGTGAGTGGAAATTCAGTTAGCTCAGCATACAGTGTGTTTCCCTTTAAAATAAATGGGCTAATGAGAAGCATGTCTGTGCTGGCCTGGTATAATGGTCTGGCCTCAAACACTGGTTGTTAAAACAAACTACACACCATCCAAGACCTAACTGCCAATGACTCTATGGTGTAACATAACTTAATTGAATATACTCTCAGCTTGGAAAAGGTAAATAAGAAACAACAAGAATAAGCATGTCTGCAAGCACACTATCTAACTCTATTTCTGGAAAAAAATCTAGATTACAGAGGGACAAAACTCAATTAGAAAATTCAGTCAGAAGAGAAAATTAGAAAATTTTCTCTTCTGAAGAAATGTTTCAGTAATCAGTAAATAATTCAACTATAAATGGTTCTTCCTTTGACCTAAATATGAGACATTAGACTGACAGTTCTGGTAGCATAGCATAGAATTTTATGAAATTTAATAAATTAGAAATTTTATCTACACCATGTAATTTCAAATATTTCTTCTTTTTGTAAAGACATTCCCTAGGGTCTCTCTCTTCCATACTTCTGACAAATAGTAGGTATAATTGCTCTTCAAACCATTGTTTCTTCCACATTACTGTATTTTATTATTGTATATGTCCATCTCGTCTATTTATTGTAAATCTCTATAGATGCCAGTGACCTTTCTTCTATTTTTTTAAATTCACAATTATAATGTGTTACACAGTTTAAAAATAGAATATGAATGGAATAAAATGAATTTTAAATTCTAAAATTATAAAAGGATCTTCAAAAGTCAATTTGCCAAATTCTTCATTTTCAGGTGACTGGACATTTACACCCAGTGACAAGAATCACACACAAACCCACAAACATACTGGAGAAAAGCTGTGAGCCTTTAAAAAAATGTTTTCAATGCATAAGCCAGTTGCTGATGCCACACTTTTTATCAATGGTGAGACTCACTGCCAGCTGCAGTGTGGCAATGCATATTTCTCTTATGGTTGGAAAGTGCAAAGCTGGTAGCTCAGGTTCTCTGCCATTCAGTCCGAGCTCAAATAGAAATAGCACCCATGCAGTGTCTGAAGCAGTGGCCAGTGGTAAGGAGTGCTGTGAAGTTGATAAGCACTTGATTCTTCATTGTGCTTGAAAATTAACATATTTAAGTGTTCTTCTCACCTTAGCTTCTTCACGATTACTGAGTATTACCATGGGCTTATGCTGATTAAGACATATATTCAAATTAAAGTTAAAATTTGTGTGTGTGTGTCAGTTTTCTATATGCTTGTGATTCTACTAAAAACTTTCACATCACCTTAAGAGTAAAGACTACTTTTCATTTTATTTCCAAATTCCCAGAAAAGTTATATTTGTTTATTGGAATTTGGCAGAACTTTTTAAAAATGATGTTCTTGACAACACCTCATCAAGGCTAGTTTATTTTTTTACTACAAGGGCTTTACATTCCACTTTCCCTGTATTGTAAGGGATTCTTCTTTATTTATTTACGTCCAACTGAAATCCCTCTTGCTTTAATATAAACCATGTTTTTCTCATACTCCTGGACAAACAAAAGATTGATTTAGCATCCCTCACTTGTGCATAGTACTTTTTGCCCATCAATTCTTATTTCTATAGTTTGATCTTCCCTCTATAACTCCATTATCATCTGCTATTGCCAGAATGTAGCTTCAGCTGCAATTTTGTGTGCAAGTCTGTGTGCATATGTGTGCATATATTGTGCATAGTAAAAGTGTGTTAATTGAAGATGGCAAATTGATTATTAATTTGTCTCAAGAAACCCATAGGTTCCATATCATTGTTCTATGCCCAGCACCTACACAGGCCATTCTTAGAAACAGAGAAGAGGACACTGGCAAATCATAATGCCCTCTAGTAAATTATATTTAAGAACCAGCAAGTCAAATGTAAAAAGAAAACAATAGGAGTATAAAACAAAAATAAGGGCACGAGACAAAAATGCTTATAAAAGTGTACCAGAAATTTACAGAATCATACACCAAATAGATATTGGTAACCTATTTTTTTTTTCATTAATATAACCGGATGCTGGAAACATATACCATGAATCATGAGAGGAGGAGGGCATTGGAAATTCCTGGCAACTGAAAGGACCTATGTTTGTTTAATGCCAAGATATGTTTTAGCTCTATATTTACTCTAGATTATCATATTCTTAAATCTTTGAAAACATACTGCCTCCCATTAGAAAAGCTGGTTATATTAGGCCACAATTGATGATTAAAAAAAATAAAGAAAAGGAGAATGCTGGTTATTTTCTACAAGGGCTATAACACCTCTACAATTGTCTGCTACTTACTAATTTGGGGAACCTGGGTTAGATTCTCTGAACTTCAGTTATCTCATTTTCTAGAGGGATATAATGATACCTCCTAGGACTGTTTTAAAGATTAAATAGGATAATGTCCATAAGCACCTGGCAAGTAAAAGAAGTTCAATAAATATGGGTTGATATTTTCTTGGCACAGTACCTTGGCATTGCAAAAGCCCCCCAACATATTGGTGGGATGCGTGACTGCATAGCAATATACTGAAGAATAGACTTTTTAAAAGAACAAATTATTTAAAAACTAGCTTTTACATAGAAGCCAAACTGAAAGAGCTCCCAATAGTCAAATATAGAACAATTTGAGCAATAAAATAAATACCATGGTCTTGGGTTATACTCCCAAATATAAAATAAATATAAATGAGTCTATGCTGATATAAATGATGGAGTAAGTAAAAGCAGAAGAGACAAATCTCCTTTATGAAAAGATTCCAATTAATATATGTAGATACTCCCTGCTCTAGTTTAGCCGTCCCTCCCATCTGGAGTGTGTGCTGGATTTAGGACTTAGTGATTATCTTACAAAGAATACAGAGGGAAAAGGATAAAAACAGTGTGAAAAAGGGGGAAAACCTGAAAAACACTACCTTAAACAAGAAATCAAGGTGGCAAGTCATGTTGGTTTCATGTATTTCCTGATAGAAAGTGATGAGAATGGTGCTTCACCTTTGTGTGTTCTTCACAAAAACCCATAATCCCAGTCCTGACTAGGAGAAAAACATGAGCCAAACTGAAACTGAGGAAAACATTCTTCAAAATACCTGACCAGTATTCTTCAAAACCATCAAGGTGATAAAAACAAGGGAGTCTGAAAAACTGTCACAGACCCGAGAGGAGAAGACTGAGAACCTTGAGAATTAAGTGCAACGTGACATTCTGGAACCTGGGGCATTAATAGAAAACTGATAAAATTCAAATAAAGGCTGTAGGGTAGTTCATAGTAATATATTCATGTTAATTTCTCAGTTTTTACAGATTGCATGATTCTATGAGGTCTTAACACTAGGAGAAACCAGGTAAAAGGTACAGAAACTCTATATTATCTGTGCAACTTTTCTGTAAATCTAAAATTATTCCAAAATAAAAATTGTGGTTTTTTTCAAGAAAGAAACCTTTATATGTGGCATCACTCTTTCTTTATTACCTAATTTCAGACACAAAGAAAATCCACACAAGAAACTGAAATTCTACCTCTTCCTCTGTTTCATCTGTATTATTGTAATACAATGTTTGGTGAAGTTGTGAGGATTAAACAATTCAAAAAGTAACATGATAAAGCTCTTTGAAATCCCAAGATTAAAGAAAATTACGTAAGTATGTAAATAAAGACTTAGACCATTCAAAGTGTTTCTGGATATGTATGTGAGGCCTAAATAAGAGATGAATCTGTGAGCTGTTTTCTGTAATATTTCAAATGCATTCTGCCTATAACTGGGAGTGTACAATGCTGAAATAACTGATTGAAAACTGAAAAATCCAATCAATTTAATTATTGCATATCATGTACCATGAAGTCCCAGTTAAGTAAATAAATTATTTTTGCTGACTTCACCTGTGTTTTTGCTTTTTGGTTTTTAAAATATTAACATTTAGAATGCACACAGAAATAGTCAGAAAGATACTTAACTTTCTGTTTGAAACTAACAGGCAGTGCTTCTAACATCTTGTGGAATGAGAGCCATCGCGTGGTTGGTGTTCCATCAAAAACACCCCTCTACAGAAATGATCCAGTTCAGCTGCAGTGGCTGAATTGCCTTCCTGTGAGTTCCATATTTTTGACAACTTTCCCAGCTCCTACAACTCAGGGTCATTAATGGATAATATTTAACAGGGTCTCTGCTCTATTCTCTGTGAATCTAGAAACTCCCTCAGCCATCTGCCTGCCAGCCTGAGCCCTAGCTTTTGACCTTCCTAATTCAAATCATAAAGTTTAAATTTGGGGTTTTAATTGACAAATGAGCTTTTATTAGACTGGCATATTTTTGGTTAAACACAGCTGTAGCTACATTCACACCAAAACTCTTATATATTTAATTTTGTCAGTACAAACTAATGGTTAATCTGGTGAACAAAAGTTGTAGTTCAATTGTTGACTAATCTGTCCAGCTTTTATTGTTAGTTTCATCAGAATGTTGATCCCACTAATCTAAAATAGAACTTAGTTAGAAGGGATTCTTCACTTGTTCTCAAAACATTTATTTATAATCCAGTTCATGTAACAGAGAAAGCATGGGCTTTAAAGCCATATAGATCTTCCTGACAATTTTATTAACTTACTGTGTGACCTTGACAAGCCACTTGACCTCTCTGATCCTCAATTCCTTATTCAGTAAAATGATTATTAAAAATATCAACCTTACATAGCTATTGTGAGGATGAAATAGATTAAAATATGCAAAAGTACTTAGCATGATGCCCAACTCAATAAATCCCCTTTCAACAGCAAAATGATGTTAGAGACGGTGGTTACATCTCAAGTAGCTCACAAAAACCTAGATAGCCACACTATGTAACCGAAATATATCTTTCTTAATAAAAATAAATAAATTAGAAGAAATCATATTGTTGCTACATTCCTGATTAATGCAACACAGAAAATTAAAAAAAAAACTAAATAATTGAGGAATTAAAGTTGTGTTCCCTCCCACATGTGATCTAAATATGTTGATTGTTGGTACTTGAAAAAAGGTATGTTTCATAAAGGAAAGTTGAAAGTACTTGAGGTTTGCCTAGTGATTTTTGTTTGTTTATCTTATAAACATTGTCTTTTTTCAGGTACTAGGCTGGGCACTGGAAGAATTTAAAAAGCAATCAGCAAAAGAAAAAAGAAACAAAAAACTCTGAGCAAATGAAGATGAGAACACTGCCCTCTTGTTGCTTACAGTCTAGGGAGGGAGAAATTCCAGGACACATTTATAGTGTCAGGCTGAGATAAGGCCCCTGATAATGCAATGAGTGGAGTGACAAAGACAGGGATTTCCTGGGATGATGGAAGAGGAGGGAGGGCAGAGGAGGGAATCAGACACCGGCTCGCAGAGGCAGTGTGTTTACACCTGAGAACAAGCTATGGGCTGAAGGAGTAACTGAGGTGTGACTGGTGAAAACAAGAGTGTGAGGATTTGCTTCCAGAGGGAATGACTCAAGAGGGAAAAGCACAACATGGTGAGGAGGAGATACTATTTCTTCTGCACTGCAGCTAAACATGCCAGGGGGCTGAGTGCTTCCAGCATGCAGGGATGTATGTTTGTGAGGCTGACATTTGCCACCGGGAAATAAATACAAAGGTAGTTGATCCCAGAGCAGTATAAATGATCTGTTTTTGGAAAATGTAAATGTAAATGAAGCTTGCTGGGACAAGGGTGATGTTAACCATAGGGCTGCACCTAGAATCATGAGCTTTAGGAAGCATAGTTTAAAAGACAACAACCTGAAAAAAAAAATTTTTTTTTTCCCTTTAAGAGACACATGCTTCACACCTGCGTGAGTAACCCTGGAATGTTCAATAAGCCCAACTGATATAAGGAATGACTCATTCTTGCCTAATAAGTGAAAGAATGAAGTTTGGGAAACAAAATCAACTGTTCCCCAACCTGAATGGTTTATTTCACAACTTAAAGTTTACCATAAAACAAATATAACTCAAGTCACAATGCAACGATGATTGATGTTTTTCATCAACATCCAATTATCATTCCATCAAGCACTGTTGTCTGGGCCAAGTACAACATAGAGTACACATCTAGAAAGGGTTATTCTCTCCACCTTTTCAAAATAACTTGCAGGATATAACTGCACTTAGTGAATTTCTGACTTGTTAGATCATGTCACAGGGAACCTCTACAAATGAATTTGAGTGCTGTGTTATCACATCACCTTTGCTTTCCAAAGAATATTGGTTGCTTTTACTATTTGAAGTTAAAAAGAAAGCCCCTTTCATTTCTCTAACTCACTCCTTTAGAATAATCTGCATCTGTGTGTCTTTTGTCTTTTGTTAGCTGTGAAGACAGCCACTTAGGTATCAGGCACGATGTCAGGCTGCGGGTGTGAGGTCTTGCAGGAGGTAAGGCGAACTGGTGGGATTTCAGGAAAACAAAAACAAAATGAAAACATCCCTTTGACTGGGCTTCAAAGGAAGCCATCACATTCAGGAACAGCTCTTCAAGAAAACACAATCACTTCCCATTTTGTTCTGGGCTAAGCCCGTGGTTCAAAAGAAGCATGATGGATGGCTTGGAGACTGCTGTAGTAAAAAAACTCCTCACATTCCCAGCAATGCCTTTTGTCCCAGATCGCTTTGCAAGCAGCTCCCTCAAAGAGGCAGGAAGCTTTCTCACCGATTCTGAACCTCCTCTCCTCTGGGGAGGCAGCAACAGCTGCTTCACCGTCAGCGGTGACTTGCTGAGGAAGACAAAGAACGCACCTTCCCTGTCTGGAACTGCAGGGAGGGCTGAGCAGTGAAATGTAATTAGTTGCTCAAATTGGAATTTGGCCAGAACCCCAAGGCTAACAACGTACACTTACAAGGGGAAAAATGCTCTAATGAACTTAGAAAGAAGAGATCTAAAAATTATATCAAAACAGACAACACAACTTATCCTGCCGTGGCTTATTTCAGCAGGGTGTGACTTGGAGGGAGGTAGGAGGGAAAGAATCTGGCTCTCCGGGAATTTTGACTATCCATGGTGTAAATGGAATCACTAACATGACTTTGCCTCACTTTTAAAACCTTGTTTCAACCTAGAATGATAATTAGGAAGCAGATCTGGCTTGAATTTATTTTCAATTTTATCTTAACTTCAAGTTAAAATTCACAAATTCCCATCTAGGACATCGGTTCCTGCTGACACCTCCTTCCAAAGCTCATGAAGAATGTGTGAGAATGTCCAAGCAGTGTGCAGAGCTGCTTGAACAGAACGGTGCCAGGTTCTTCTCCCATCTCACCAGGGGTCCACTGAGCACAGCCCATGAGAATACAGGGGGCACACACAACCCTGCCAATTCAAGTTTAATTTAATTCAGTCCGCATTTGTGGGCCAAGTGGGTGCTGTGAGCTGTAGGGTATCATAAAGAGTATCACAGACAAGAGATGTTAATTTGGGCTGTGGGGAGAGTGGAAGAAAAGCAGACAGGCAGCCTTTGATTTGAAGCCCAAAACATTAGGGGGAACCAATACTGGGAGCATTGTCTGTAGAGATGGGCTCAGAAAGCACAGCCAGATGCACCAGATACAGCACACAAAGCCCAGAGACGGGGTGAGTGCATGGGCAGGATGCACTGGCTGCCAGATGTGATGATGATTCCCCAGTGGGTGGGCATGGCTGATGACAGAGGACCTGGGGCAGGAGTTGCTTGGCAGACAAGAACCCTCAAGGTCTTCATCACCCTTTCAACAAATGTATATTGAGCATCTCCCCTGTTAGGCATGTTGTAGGCATAAATGATCAGCATGGCAGATGCTGCCACATAGGAACTTAGTTCACAGGCAAAATAGTAAGCCACCAAAAGATCTGTAGTTATAGGGCAGATTCTAGTCTCCTCGGCAGGAGAACCAGAGAGCAGCTTTCAGATCAGAGTTCCCCAATCTCGATGGTGACAGGTTACAAAAAAGTAACTAGAAAATATGAACCATCAGAGTCTGCTAGATGATTAGTAGG